CTTTAGTGAAGTGTCTGTGAAAACCTTTGGCCCATTTCCTTATTGGGTTATTTTTCTTACTGGGTTTTGAGTGTTCTTTATAATTCTGGGTATAAGTTTTATGCTGGATATATGATTTAAAAATATTTTCTCCCAGGCTGTAGCTTGTCTCTTCATTCTCTTAACAGTGTTTTTCAAGAAGGAAAAAAATTGCTTTTGACAAGAGCCAATTTATTTATTTTTCTCTTTGCTAGATTATGCTTTTGGTACCATCTAAGGGTTCTTGCTGAACCCAAGTTCAGACTTTTTCCTGTTTTCTTCTAAAAGGTTTATAATTTTACATTTTATATAGATATGATGCATTTTTAGTTTATATTTGCAAAAGATGTGAGGTTTAAGTTCATTTTTTTGCATATTATCAATTGTTCCAACACCACTTTTGAAAAGCCTAGTGTTTCTCCATTGAGCTGTTTTTGCATCTGTGTAAAAAAATCAATTGGACATATTTTTGTGAATTTATTTCAGTCTTCTGTACTCAGGTCTTGCTTTTATTTTCCAATAAAATGAGCCAGGGATCACTGGAGAAATGGACAACTTTGGGGTTGGGATAACTAGGGAGCAGGGAAAACACAATATGAGCCTGGGGCATCTGATAGTGCCAGAAAATAAGGAAGAGCTAAAAGAAGAAAAAAATGGAGGCATGCAAAAAGGACACAGTTGCTAGCCCAAAAGAACTCACAATGGCAAACATGTAAAAATTTGAGTAACAACAACAAAAATGTTTCCAGGCAGTGTCATAAATTTGATCCTTGCTTGGAAGCCATTTCTTAATTTTAGCATATCCTGCTATCTTGGTGAGGCTGAGAATCTCCAAAACCATTAAGTCCTGGCTCCTTTTTATTTAACAATATTTCTTACAGTTTCTCTCTCTCATATTTTACTATAAGCAGTGAGAAGCCAGGTGGCACCTTGAATACTCTGCTTGGAAATCTTCTTTGTTAGATCATATCAGGCATATGTTTTACATTCCACACCACAGAAAGTGACATTGTTGCTGAACAGTCTACCACTACATAACAAGGATACTTCTTCCTCCAGTTTCCAATAACATTTACCTCATTCTCCTGCAAGTCTTCACCTCCAGCTTTGCAAAAGACCACGTGGTTTCTATTAATAGTTTCTTCAAAGCACTTTAGGTTTTTGCTAGCACACACCCACTTAGCTCAACACCCACTGCCCAGTTCCAAAGCCACTACCACCTACATTTTATGTTTTTATTATGGCTGCACTTCACCTTCAAATACTAAAATCTCCATTAGTTATCTTTTACTGCACAAGTTACCCCAAACTTAGTGGGTCAAAAGAACAGACATTTACTAACCCCCCGTTTTTGAAGGTTAGAAATCCAGGAGTAGTTTAGCTGGGCATTTGTCTTAATGTCTCATATGAGGTTGCAGGTAAGCTGTTGGCTGTAGCTGCCGTCTTATTTGAGGGCCAAAGTGAGGGAGAATCCACATCCACATTCACACACGATCGTTGGAAGGCCACAGTTCTTTGCTGACTGTTGCCCAAGGCCTTCAGTTCCTAACCACGGAATTTTCTATAGGCTCTCTGAGTGTCCTCACAATGTGGCAACTGGCTTCCCAAAGTACAAATGATCCGAGAGAGCATGTGCCCAATAGAGAAGCCAGTCTTTTTACAACCAAGTCTTTTAAGTGACATAGCATTACTTCTACCATCTTCTATTCATTAGAAGTGAGTCACTAAATCCAGTCCACATTCATGGACAGGGTATTATGTTCCATCACTTGGAGGGAAGCCTATCAAAGAATTTTAGGATAAACTCTCAGACAAAAAACTTATGAATATAAAGGAAGAATTCTGACTGGAAGATTCATATTCACCACTTTATCCAATCATATTTTGCCTCAATATTTTATTAAAATTTTAAACATACAGGAAAAGTTTAAAGGGTGACTAATGAACATCTCTACATCCTCTAAAAAGATTCAATGACAGTTGCCAATTTTTTTTACATATTTATATGCAAATATGCTGCAAACATCATGACTTCTCAAATTGAAAACTTTTGCATGCATCTCCTAAGAATAAGGGCATTGTACTACATATCTAAATAACATTATCACTTCTAGGAAAATTGAACATACCATATTATCTAATACCCATTCCATTCTCATATTTCCCCCAAGTGTTCCCTCAAATGTCCTTTATAGTTGTTTTAATTTTTCTGAATCAGAAGCCAGCTAAAGGTCAAACCTTGCATTTGGTTATGTCTCTTGAGTGTCTTAATCTAGAAAAGTCTACTTTTGTTTTATTACATTGGCTTTTTGAAAAGTCCAGACCAGTTGTTCTTGTACAATGTCTCAAACTCTGGGCTTGTCTATTTCCTCACTGTATAATTCAACTTGTTCCTTGTGTTTCTTGAAAAAAAGATAACTTTAGATAAAAGATTTAATTAGCTTTTCGTTAAACATTTTTGGCAAGAATACATCACAGATGATCACGTATGCATAAGGAGTCACATAATGTCAGGTTGTCCCACCAGCAGCGAAGCTGTTTGCCAGCCAGATATCTCCATTATAAAGGCATAGCTTTCCTTTGCAATTGGCATCTATGATCTGTTGACACCATGTAAATAATGTTCCTTAAATTTATTTATTTTTGTCTACTTTTACCATCCATTGAATGTGTATGATTTAATTACATTAATTACATAAGGGTTGGAAAATGGTGATTTTTCTAAATCTGTCACTATATGTACAGTTAAAATGTGGCATTCTTCAAATAAGTTTATAAAAAGCTTTCCTTTCTCTATTTTTTTCCCATTATGGGCTTGTTTATATATTTTTACTCAGCATGTTATAACTAATTAAAGTGATTATTCTTTTTGGTGTTGAAATTGTCCTAAATTTGATCCATGAGATGTGCATCAAGTTAGCTCCCATATCCTTCTGACATTATCCCATTAGTTTTGAGTGCTCTTTTTTTGTTGTTTTGTTTCATAAAAAGATATTACAGGGCCGGCAGAGTGGCTCAGTTAGTTAAGAGTTTGCTTAAGAGCACGAGCTCTGAGCAACAGGGTCACTGGTTCAATTCTCACATGGGCCAGTGAGCTTTGCCCGAGCTGAGCTGCTGCTGAGCTGCCAACAGGTGGCAGATGGCTCAGCTGGTGAGAGCATGGTGCTCCTAATGACAAGACTGCCTGTTCGATGGTGGGCTATGCCCACCCGCGGCTGGGACTGAACTTGGCACCTTGAGCTGAGCTGCCACCTGGATGGCTCAGTGGATAGAGTGTGTGCTCTTAATAGCAAGGTTGCCAATTCAACTCCCGTATGAAAAAAAAAAAAGATATTACAGGCATGCCTTACACTTCCCCTGTTCCAAATATGGAATCAGCTATTACTCTAAAGAGCCCTGGTTCCTTTAAATGCCAAGGAATGGCATTTAGAAACCGAAACCTGGATACTAAGTGTGGTCACTGCTATTGGGTAACCACACACACTTTTATCTACAATATTTTGCAAAGGGCTCTGTACAATGTTAAATATTGAGGTTGTTTAAAAGCTTCATTTTCCTTAAATATACTTAAATATATAAAAGATAATTTCTAATAAGCTAAGACAAGTCAAGAGATATACTATGCTAAATGCTTCAGTTTAATTCTAAAACATTTCTCAGACAGAAGGTTCTAGCTAATTTTATTAGAACAATTTTTTAAATGATACCAATTGTGAAAATGAAATATAAAATTGGAGGAAGTAGGGCCAGGGGGTAAATGAATTCTTTCTTAAAAACATGGCAAATGTTTGGATAACTAACTTAAACTGATGACTAGAATGTTTAATAAAATATTCATGTATCATTTTACACAAAAGAATTCTTGAAACATGTGAAAGCAAAAACAAACAAAAAGAAAATCTTGTATGTGAAACCCCCAAAAGCAGTTTCACCATGTGTACCTCAGCTGGGTTTCAGGATTTATGTACAGTTATTATAAAAGCAGGTATACTTAGAAGAAAAAGGGAGAACATGATTGTAAGTCAATTATTAAGATTAAAGTGAAGTGGAATCTGTCATACATTAAAAAAAAATGAGTAAATTACTGCAATTGTGTCTCAGCAGTTTACAAAACAAAAAGTACTCTTAGGAATCGAAGTTGGAAATAAACCTGTAATTATCACAGAAAACCAGACCTGAAGACCTAGACTCTGCTCAATAAGCTCAATTTTTTCCTTAGTATAATAAAAGGGTATAAACAATTAAAATCTCCCCTGGCTTTAATGAGTTACCAGACGTACAGTCAGCTTCTGCAAATATCTACCTCTGCAACTGATGAAAGCATATGCATAACAGTCTCTGCACTTGCTCCAGTCTACTCCAACTTCTACAGTACTGTAATAAGACTATTCAGTAATGTAGAATCATATCAAAATAAGAAATAATGTAGAAAAGAATATGGAAGAGACTCCATTTGGGCAAAACTTTAGTTTTCAAAACTAAATTCTGAATTAATCAAACCACTTTTTTTTATCATCAAAGACTTTTGGAAAAAATATACTTATATTCTAAAACTATGTGTATATATACATATGCACACGTGTATGTGGGCACATGTATTTATGTATATTTACATATATATAACTTGCTGGTGAGACAGTTCATAAAAAGTGAGCTTGATTATTTCCAAGTGAAAATTTGAATTCAAAGAATTCTTTTTATCTTTACCTTCTCTTTATGAAAAAAGCACATCCTATGTCTCCCTGCCATTTTAAAAAATGAGGTCCCAATTAATAACTCAATGACTGTTTTTAAAAGAAAATTCATATTAAAGCTTACTCTAGAAAGGGAATAAACGCTAATAAAAGAAAGAAAATTTATATTCCATTATTTTCATGTTTTTTTATAAAGTTAGGCTTTTACATTTTTCTATGAATTAAAAAAATTGTTTTTATAAACCTTAGAATTTAATGGTTTTATAAAATTTGACAGCGTTCTTCATATTTTCACTGACAAATCTTACCACTACTTAGTGGTAACTATAATAGCATATTTTTTTCCAGAAGTAAAAAAGAAGCTATATGGAGTCTGTGCCTTATTTTTTTGTCTCCTGATTATTCTCCAAAGAGAAGTCTTGAATTATTTGACAGATAAATTAAGCCTCAAAGGGCTTATCTCCTCTAAGAAATCTCTGATCCCATATTCCTTCCATTTATAGAGTTTTTCTCTATTGTGAACTTTTTTGTGTCTACAAAGGTTTGATCTGTAACTGTAAGCTTTCCCACATTCCATACACTTGTAGAGTTTCTCTCCAGTATGGATTCTCTCATGTTCAGTTAGGAATGAATATTGGCTGAAAGATTTCCCACACTGATTACACTGATAGGGTTTCTCCCCAGTATGAATTCTCTGATGTCTATAAAGGTTGGATTTGCATCCAAAGGCTTTCCCACATTCTCCACAGGTATAAAGTTTTTCCCCAGTATGAATTTTCCGATGTTCATTAAAGGACGAATACTTGTTGAAGGTTCTCCCACATTCATTACATTGATAAGGTTTCTGTCCAGTGTGAATTCGCTGATGTTCAATAAGGGTTGAGATGCATGTGAAAGTTCTCCCACATTCCAAGCATTTACACAGTTGTTCTCCGGTATGAAGCCTCTGATGTTCAGTCAGGGACGTAAGCTGGCTGTAACCTTTCCCACAGTCACTGCATTTATAGGGTTTCTCACCTGTGTGGATTCTTTGATGTCTATGAAGTTTTGCTCTACAATTGAAGGCCTTCTCACACTCACCACATTTATAGAGTTTCTCTCCAGTATGAATTCTCTGATGTACAGTGAGGGTTGAACACTGGCTAAAGGCTTTACCACATTCCTTACATTGATAGGGTTTCTCTCCAGTGTGCACTCTCAGATGTTTCGTAAGAGTTGAACTACTGCTAAATGCTTTCTCACATTCATTACATTTGTAAGGTTTCTCTCCAGTATGAATTCTCTGGTGAGCAAGAAGGGATGATCTATGGGTGAAGGTTTTCCCACACTCATTACATTTGTAGGGTTTCTCACCCGTATGGATTCTTTGGTGTTCAATAAGATGAAGACTCTGATTGAAGCTTTTCCCACATTCATTACAAATATGAGCTTTTTCTCCTGGATAAATTTGGAAGCATTTCACTAGATCAAAATCGTGTTTGAAATCATTTCCAAAACTATAATATATATTGGGTATCGTTTCTACAGGAACACTCTGTTGTGTAACAAGAATTGTATTTATAAATAATCCTTTCCCTAATTTAAGACTTACATCGTTTCCATCACCACAGATGGTTTTCCTATGTGAGGTGACTGTTTGCCTAAAAGGTCTCTTCTGTTGTTCCCGTTCTTCTCTGCTCTCAAATTCCAAAGCTTCTCCAAACTTGATGCCCCAATGACCAAACTTCGTGGATTTTTTCTGTATTATTCCCTGAGATGTTTCTTCTATAAAAATGTCCTGTCTGGGAGGCAATGCTTCTATTTCAGGCCAAGTCTTGAAATCTGAAATGAATCAGAAGAATGAAGGCTTCCTCTGCTGGAAAAGGCAAACACACATCAAGTGGGTCACTAAAATTGGCAATAATACATATAAAAGAGGTTTGATACCATCTGACCTCACCTTTGGACTTGAATCTAGAGAAAAACAGGATGAAATAGAAAGACAGGTAAATAGGTTAAGGAGTGGTATGGAGGACCCATTAGCACTAAATTAACACTAAAAATGAAGAGACCGCGACTTGAGAGAAGTAAAGTTAAACACAGAAGAACTGGTTAAACAGAAGGTACAAGGATACAGAAAAATGTCAACTGACAAGCTCAAACTGAATACTACGGGTTACTCCAGTTTATCTTTATTTTCTACTCTGAGTATGCCAGGCGACAAAGCAAGTAACTTTTCTTCTTCTGTCTACTCACATGTTGCTTTTATTACATTTTTCTCCATGTTCTCACTGAAACTGTATACACAAGTTTATATATACTTTATATACAAATATTTAAAATATTTGCAATGTTTTTCTTAAATTTTGTGATTTTGTATGTGAATATGATTTCATACCAGTCTATAAAAAGAAAGGCAGTCTATGAGGAAGTTCAAGTTTTAAAATTTATAAGGGCCAGCCGAGAGGCTCAGTTGGTTAAGAGCTCCCTCAAAAGTGCGAGCTCTGAGCAACAGCGGTTCGAGTCCCAGCCCACGCTGAGCTGCCAACAGGTGGCAAGATGGCTCAGCTAAAAAAATAATAATAAAATAAAATTAAATTAAAACTTACAATAGCCCTGGGTTGGTGATATCTTATCTAAGTTCAAGATGCTAATTATAAAGAAGAGGAAAATATGGAGTAAATCAGGCATATACATGTATATCCTTTATGACTGGAAGACTAACAATTTTTTCATTCTATCCTGCCACCACTTTTCCCTTTTTTATTTGATCATAAAGAGACACAGACATATTCATTTCTTCTTATAAGCAGCAACCAGAAGACTGAACTCTCTTTGTGGAATCTTTTGAGACTAATCAAAGTCTGCAAGAGATGGGAAATCAATATGTCCTGAAGTTCTGAAATACACCCAAGCCCTAAGCTCAGGTCTGACTCTAAGTGAAAAGATTTAGCTTCAGCTGATTCTAAGGAGCTCTGCATAAAACCTGGCTTTTAAAAATCAATCCATGATTTAAAATAGATTAAAAGCAGATCACTGTAATTAAGTAAATGTATGTGCTTAAATAAACTATATAACTTAAATAAAATATAATTTGAATATTTATGTTTAAAAATGCATCCAGTTTATTGAAATTAGATCATAAGAGGAACAAGAAATACAGGCTATAAATCTGTATAAAAATATAGATTTCTCTTAGTTAATGGTGTCTTTGGGAAACCTAGCATTTGGATTTTCAAGGGTTGACCAGGGTCCCTTCTCTCTTTTCATCCTGTGCCACAATATGGCCTTCCCTGCCCATTCATAAACTTACCCTACTATTCTGATCCCATTTCTCTACAGAAACAATTACTGAAGTCTAAGTTCACACTTTCTTAGAATTTAAAAACATATTTTACTTATACATTCTATCACTTAACTTACATACATAAAGTTTGTAAAAATAATTCAAGTATTTGTTCAAGGAGAACAGTAGATATGTCTTATAAATTTTTGTTAATTCCTATTGCGCAAAACACAAGTATACAGTCAAAATGTCTTATGTAAAAAAATAATGAAGAATAACTGAGTAAGTTGGAAAAATTATTATGAAGGAAGATTCTCTCCTCTTATACTAGACTCCTGAGACTCAATCAATCCTTTATTGAATACTTAATAATCAGCAATGAGAATATTAAATAAATAAATAAATAAATAAACAACCAACTAACCAAACAGTAATAGTTCGTTTTCCCATGGTGTGAGAAGCCTTGACTGTATAAACACAGGTTTGAAGTTCAGAGAATGAAGACACTAACATCAACTTTATTAGTAAAGAATGGTTTTATGAAAGAAGTTGGACAATAAAGATGGGATAGATTTCAATTGAAGAGAATTCTGTGAGTCAGAAAGAAGGCCAAATCAAAGTCATCTATGAGGAGATACACCTATTTAGGGGAGGCTTATTGACTAAAGAAAATCCAGCTTGGAATTAGTTTAAAATGTTGTTAAGCAGAGTGAGGGCAAACCCAGAGAACAACTGGCAGAGGAATTTAGAATAATAATAGAGATGACAAAAGGTATTGTAAGATTTTAGGCAAATAATGATAAGAAAATAATGATCACTTTTAGCAGGCAGCTTGGATAAGAGGAAGGACGGAATGGGATCTGATGATGATGTGGCTGCAGTGGTGGACTCAGCACCGGAATTTGAGCCTCACTGGCACTGAGCTAATCACAGAGGCAATTCAATTAAATTCAAAAAATATTAACTAAATGCAATATATTAGATGCCAGACGCACAGAACCCAGAATTCAAAGACCTGGTCTCTCCCTTAAATATGTGCAATATAATTAGGAAAATAAGTAATAACAAAATAACTGTCATTCATTATGATAGATACTGTAATGGATATGTTCAAGGTATGCAGAAAGTGCTGTATCAATGCAAATGATTGAAAATTAATGCTGATTGGGAAGGAAAGATAAGGAAACCCTATATATAAAGGGTGGCATTTTAGACAGACTGCTGGATCTTGAAGGATAAGTAGCTTTCCAGTGGACAAAATGGAAGAGGAAATTCAAGCTGAAGGAATCACGCACAGATGCTAATGAGCACACAGGTTTGCCCAGAACGTGTAAGTGGACACTGATGAGGCTAAACAGAAACATGGAGGCAGACTGTGAAGTAGGTTTAATGTCACATTAAGGAATTTTACTTTACTCCATGGATAACGGGAAAACGGTGAAGCCTCTTAAGGTCTAGGATTTAACATCCGAGTTTCAAAAAAATCATCTGCTGGTGGCAGGGAAGGTAATGTTGAAATAAACAAGGCTCAGAGAGGAAAGGTAATGTTCCCACAGCTTGTAAGGCTTGTCAGTAGTGGTATTGGTAAACTGAAATTAGGAATGTCCAAATTAAAACCACAATCTTAAATGCTATACTGTACTGTATACTAACTCTTTGGAGAAAATTGTATTTTAATTAAGATGAAAAGTATTTGCAGAGAATGAGAAAGAAAAAAAAAGTCAATGAAGGCACGAATCACAGATTTAAGGTCAAACCATAAAGGTAGATATAGGTTTATCTCACTGCATTTCAGCGTTTTAGCTCTGTGATCAAAGTATTTTAAAATCTTGGATGCTCTGTTTCTTCAGATATAAAAAGAGGTATCTATATTTGATCACTTTTAAACAATCCTTCAACTCTAACAACAGTTTTATGATAAAGGCCAACCGGACTAGGCTGGGTTAGAAGAGCAGTCAGCATGTCTCTGGGCCAAATAAAGCTGCCGGCTGTTACTGGAAAGTCCCAGTAGCACACAGCACTCCTGTTCCCTTAGCCGTGCCTCTGGCTGCTTTGGCTCCACCATAGCAGAGTTCAATTTAAATGGCTGGAACAGAGGCCAAAGGGCCCCAAAGCCAAAATATCTGCTATCTGGCCTTTTACAGAAAAAGTCTGCTGACCCCTGGGCTAGAAAGGCTGCAGTGGTTACATTAATAAACAGGTTAAATGTAACACTGAGAGATCGTCCCCCAGTCTCCAGGGAGACAAAAGGGAAATACTGAGCTAAGAAATCAGAGCCAATGACAATAACTTTGAAATATGTGGTTGGTGACAGAAATGAAAAAAATTATAAAGAACGCAAAATATAACAGAGGTGTAAAGTATTTAAAATCTGCCAGACACGAACCTGTGTAAATGCAGATGGGAAAAAAAACCATAAAGAGCAAGAGGCCAAAAAAAAAAAACCCATGAAGAGCATGGTAGCAGAGAAAACCCTTACAACCAAGGAGGCTTCTGTCAGGCGGCCCTCAGCATGTCAGCAAGGCTCAGCATTTCCAGGTGTTTCCAGAGCACAGCTTCCTCATGACCTGCTCAAGGCTAAGGATACCCTGTGCAATTTCGCAGTCACTCACTCACCCAGACAGATGTCTTGAGGATGTTCTCTTTCCACCATGCAGGGATCTTTTCCTTCTTGCAACTGACAGATGACTTTTGGCGTTGAAAATGGAATCCCTGCTCATGTGGAAGGAAATGAAGTTTGAACAAATAGCCTGAAGAGTAATCCCTGAACTCACAGAACCCATGGGGCAGAGAAGGCAGCACAAGCACTTCTGCAGGGCTGGGCTCATGGGAGATGATGAATCAGAAGCTGGGTCTCAGTTCCGGAACAACACAGGGCCCTGTGATGTGGCCCCTAAGATGGGAGGGAGTCCTCTATGTTTTCCAGAATCTAAACTGGGATCTAGTCACTGGAGTGGGTGGAAACTTTGATCGGGAGGTGGGGTGGGAGGAAGGCACAGGAAGGAGAAAAGAATAGCATGAAGGGCATGACAATAAAAATGTACACTGTCAACTCTACAGATTCTTCCTTTCGCAAGGGCACAGTAGGGAAGAAACCTGCAGACGCTGAAGCCCAAAGAGGGAGGTCTAAGGTGTTTCCCCAGCAGATTCTTTATTAGAGGCAAACCTCCTCACCCAGAGACAACAGGGAGCTGTAGTTCTCCAACATCACCTCCCGGTACAAGGCTCTCTGCGCAGGGTCCAGGTACAGCCACTCATCCAGGCTGAAGAGCACGGCCACATCCCCGAACGTCACAGACTCCTGTAACAGCAAACCCATCCCTGTTCATCCAGGACCATCTTCTCCACTGAAAGACTCGGTAAGAAAGTGACACCGGGATGTGCAGCAACCAGTTTTGAAAACGTCTCAGGACTCTAAATTTTCAAGTCAACTGTGTTATTTTTTGAACCACCCATCATTTATTAAACAAATACTTATTGAGTACCCAGTGGGAGCAAAGACACACACCACCTGCTGTGAGAGTAGGGGAAATGGCAAAGTCCCTGGCAACAGAAGTTCAGTCCAGCCTGGGGTCAAAGTACCGGAGCACAAAATGTACTCCTCTCCCCCAGCAAAATCCAAATTCAAATAGAGAAAAATTTCAGAATGCATCTAGAGCAATGCCGGACAACTGGGGAAAGTACTATCAGCAGAACAGAAACAAAGGAATCTGAGACATAATAAAAAGAATACCAGTTAATATTTATTGAATACTTGTATGTTAGGGTCTATGATAGGAACTTTGCATATCATATCTAAGTTTCATAGAAATCTTGTGAGGAAGATACTATGATTAAATCATTTTCCAGATGAAGACATCATTCAGAAAGGTTAAGTAATCTTCCTAAGGTACTGTTAAAAAGTGGATCTGAGTTCAGAGTAAAAGATCTCTGAGCCATATTGTCAGGTGGGTTTCCACTGACTATAAAATTTTTTTTAAATAATAAAATAAAAACAGAGGACTGTGCCAGACACTACAGGTGCAAGAGGCAACTGGTGAGAAAGTAAGTTCTTCCAAGAGGACCCCAGTTAAACCTCAAAATGTGAGAAAGCAGAGGTTGGGCAGGTAACAACTCTTATGGGAAAAAGAAGGGAATGAAAAACAGTAAAATACTTTTGGTGTATATTTTGTTGAGAATCATCAAAATGTCATAGGTACATCATTTTGACCTTGGAATTCTACTTCTAGGATTCTACTACAAGAAATAATCACACAACTGGGTAGAGATATTTGTTCAAGGATATTCACCGAAACATTACTTACAAGTTCATGGTTGTGACAGGCTGAGTAATGAACCTGGGAATGTTACATATATGACAAAAGGGCCTTAGAAGTTCTGTTTAAATTAAGGAATTTGAGATCGGAAGATTATCCTGGATTATTACAGGTAGATCCGATGTAATTACAATGGTCCTTACAAGAAGGACCCAAGAAGAGTCGGAGTTAGAAGAGGGGCGGGCAGTGTGGTGACAGAAGCAAAGGCTGAAATTGAAATGCTCTCTGAAGACTGCTGAAAGGGCCTCAGCCGAGGAACACAGGCAGCCACTAGCTAAGAAAAGGAGGCCAGGAAACAGATTTCCCCTCAGCATCCAAAAGAACCAGCCTTGCTGTGAGCTTGACCTTATGCTAGTGAAACTGATTTCAGACTTCTGACCTCCAGGAGTACAACAGAATAAATTTATGTTGTTATAAGCTACTGGGTTTGTGATGCTTTGTTACAGCAGCCATAGGAAACCAAAACAAGCGTGAACAATGAAGATAATCCATCAATAAGGGAATGGATGGGAAAATTACCATATTTATTCCACGAAATGTTATACAGCCATTAAATAAAGCGGATTTGTATGTCCGACATTAGAATTTGACCTTGACATATTGTTGATTCATATAAAAAAGCAAGCCACAAAACAACAGTTGTTAAAAACTTCTTTCTCAGTATATACACATATGCAAACAAAAGTATTAATACCTGGAAGAATCCAGCAAGCTGTCCACCCTGATGATTCTTTGGTATTTGCAAAGAGGGACAAAAAAGCAATCTTCCACTTATTATTTTATACCCTTCCATTAGGCTTACACTTTTTACTGTGTGTGTGTATGTGCATGTGTGTGAGAGTGTGTGTGTGTCTTGAATTTTTTTAATTCCATTTTAATTTATATACTGACTTTTTAGCTATGCCTCTTTGCATCTTTAGTGGTTTCTCTGAGAATTATAATGTACATTCTTAGTCCGTTATAGTCTATTTAGAGATAATATATGATTTTACACAGAATCTTGACAAGAACCTTGGCAAGTGTACGGGACCACCACCACCTCTCCTCAGGCTAAAGTTGTTCTACTTTCCCAGTTCAGATGGTTGACAGGACTCACCAGACTGCACCGAGCAGGTGCATGGACGGCAAAAGATACAGTGCAGCAAGATGAAGAGAGCCCAGGGAAGCGCCCGCGGTCCAAGAGACATTCATAAACAAACCCTTTAATTGCACATGCAGACTCTTCTGTGTTTGGATCTACGTAAGGAATCTTGGTTTTAAAGAGCTCAAAGGAGAAATTCTCAGCAGGGGACTTTGTGTATCAAGCAAGGCTTGTCAAACCATGTAGGTCAGCTACAAACCATCAGTGACGAAGATGACTCTGAGGGTGGCCAGTGACATTTAGCTCTTAAACAGTATATCCACTGCCCTTACCTTGCCAGGAGTCCAAAATAGTCATCCAGGTACCCCCAGAGACAAACATAGAGCTTTTCCAGTCCAGATATAAATAAATTCTGTATCCACAACTGTCATGTGCATTCCATCTACCTACATTACAAACTCCACAATGCAAGATTATATTTTTGCTTTAAATCATATGCATTTTAAGAAACTGAGAGGAAAAAGTATTTCATGTTTATCCAGATAACCACCATTTCAATTGTTCTTCATTTCGTTCCTGAGATTAGAGTTCCCATTTGGCATTATTTCCTTTCTGCTTCAAGAACTTCCTTTAGCATATCTTACAGTACAGGCATGCTGACAATGAACTAGCTTCCTTTTCTTTTATCTGAAAATGTCTTTATCTCACCTTCATTCTTTTTTAAGATTTTGTTGGGGAATTGGGGAAGGGGAACAGCCAAGTTGTTGTCCTTCGATCTTAGTTGTGGAGGATGCAGCTAGCTCAGCTCCTAGTTCAGTCGCCATCCGGGCACCTGTTGGCAGCTCGCGGCCACTCAGCTCAAGGTGCCGTGTTCAATTTTAGTTGCAGGGGGGTGCAACCCACCATCCCATGCAGGAGTCAAACCAGCAACCTTGTTGTTAGGAGCACATGCTCTCTGAGGCATCCTGCCACCTTTGGCAGCTCAGCAGCAGCTCAGCTCGGGTGCAGCTCACTGGTGCATGTGGGAATTGAACCGGCGACCCTGTTGCTCAAAGCTCATGCTCTTAACCAACTGAGCCACTCCACGGGTCCTCACCTTCATTCTTTTTTTTTTTTTTAAGATTTTTATTGGGGAATTGGGGGGATGGGAACAGTGCTGGGGAATTGGGGGAAGGGGAACAGACAAGTTGCTGTCTTTTTGTTCTTCAGTCTAGTTGTGGAGGACGTTGCTTCACTGGCCCAAGTTGGCACCATCATTGCACTCTTCCCGGGCGAGGCAGATCAGTCGCCGGCTTCTGGACGGCCACTCACTGCGGCTGCTGGCCGCTCAAGCTGGCTGCTGGCTACACATGGTAGCCCAGGGCAACCCACTGCCGCAGGGGCTGCAGCCTACGCCGTCGCTGGCGACTCATGGCAGCCCAGCTCCAAGTTGAGCTGTTGTTCAGCATCTTAGCTGTGGAGGGCAGTGTCACTGGCCCTCATATGTGGGATCCAAACCGGGGCCCTCTGGCGTCCCAAGCCAGTTCTTAACCATCGCGCCACTCGGCCGGCCCCTCACCTTCATTCTTGAAGAATATTTTCCTTGGCTACAGAATTCTGGGTTGACAGTTTCTTTTTGTGTTTTATATTTTTCTTGCAGCATATATCATTCTATTGTTTTCTGGCCACTGTCGTTTCTGATGAGGAGCCAATGGACAGTCAAATATTCATTCTCTGTATGTAATGTGATTTTTTTCTTTTCTGTCTGCTTTCAAGTCTTTAATTTTCAGTAATTTGTCTATGATTTTTCTGCCAATATGGTAGGCACCAGCCACAAATGGCTACTGAGTACTTGAAATATGGCTAGACTGACTTATGATGTGCTATTACGTATAAAATGCATACCAGATAATATACACACACACACACACATATATGCATGTATATATATATATGATATCTCAATAATTTTATATTAATCACATGTTGAAATAATATTTTGGATATACTGGGTTTAAAAATATATTATTAAAGTTCACGTATCTGCTCCTGTTTTTTTTTAATGTGACTACTGTTATAAAAAGTTTGAAATTACACATGTAATTGCATTCAAGGTTCACACTATATTTCTATGGCACAGCACAGCATTGATGAATGATGTACATAGCTGTGGTTTTTCTTTGTATTTATCCTTCTTGAGTTTCAGTGAATATTGTAAATCTATGAATATGGTTTCTTTTTAACCAAATTTGAGAAAATTTTGGCCATTGTTTCCTTTCAATATATTTTTGTCACATTCTCTCTCTGCTCTCCTTAAACTCCAATTACATATTAGACTTTTAACATTGCTTTATTCGTAACCGAAGCTCTTTTTTTTTTTTAATTGGGGAATTGGAGGGAACAGCATTGGGGAATAGGGGAAGGAGAACAGACAGGTAGACAAATTGCTGTTTTGTTCTTCAGTCTAGTTGTGGAGGACATCACTTCACTGGCCCATGTTGGTATGATCATTGTGCTCTTCCCGGGTGAGGCAATCGGTAGCCGGTCATTGGTTGGCCGCTCAGGGCGGCTCATGGCAGCTCTCGCTGGCTGCCAGCCACTCATGCTGGCTGCCAGCCACTCATGTAGCTCACAGCAGCCCACTGCAGCCCCGCTGCAGCCTACACCGTTGCCAGCAACTAACAGCAGCCCAGCTCCAGGTCAAGCTGTTGTTCATCATCTTAGCTGTAGAGGGCACAGTGTCACTGGCCCTTAATATGGGATCCGAACCGCAGCCCTGCTGCTCAGAGCTGGCGCTCCCAAGCAAGCTCTTAACCAACTGAGCCACTTGGCTGGCTCCTAAAGCTCTTTTTAATCCCTGTTTTTCACATAGGACAATTTCCATTGACCTACCTACAAGTTTTACTGACATTTTCTTATGTTCAC